GGAGAAGAAGTCTATATATCACATCATAGGCATGTTTTTGGGGCATATTGGCCCCGGAATTGGAGGCAGAGACTTAATGCACTCCCCGCCCTTGAAGAAAATTTAAAAAAAAAAAAATTAATTAAGTCTTAGTGTGGTTGGCATATCTCTGAAATTTTGGAAAATATAAATTTATAGTGTTCCTGCCTAACATTTTCCCTGTTCTTTTCATTGTAATTATTTCTTCTTAACTAGCCAGAACAGAGAAATGGAATTTAAAAGGGGACAAGCGAACCCTGTGGGGGGACAAGCAAACCCTGTGGGGCTATGGGTACCAAGGAAACGAAAAGCACCAGTGACTAGATCCCAGAATATTACCTTTGCTCCCGAGAAGACTGGCATCTCGGCCCTTGGTTGCAACCCAAGGGGCTTTGAGAAAGGTAGAAAGGTAGATTTCCTGAGGATTATTTTCACTGTGATCATTATGGTACCCTGGACGGTTGGCCAAAGTCAGAGAGCCACACTAGACCGAGTTTCGGCAATGAAAAAGCAAACAAGGCAAAAACCAAGTCCCAGTAATTTCAACATTTGTGACTATTGCAATCACCCTGTGTAGATTAAGGACAAGATGAAATCTGTGTTTGTGATACACCTATATGTTAGTTCTGCTTGCTACAATCACAGCAGTTTTATAGATGTTTGTATTAAGGAAAGAAAGATGTATTGGGTAAGGAAAAATTTGAGATATAATAGACAAGCTCCTTATCCCCATGATGATCAAATTTGCCCTCAATATGGAAGATTCTTTTGTTTTGAAAGAGATGATAATGGAAACGATCCAAGTACAGGGAAACCAGGCACTAAAAGAAAAATGGAAAGAGAAAAAAAAAAAAGAAGAAAAAGAAACAAAGGGGAATAGAGGAAAAAACAGGAGAAAAGAGTCAACAGAATTGGCTGAACTGTATAAACAACTAAAACAGCACTACAAAGATTGGGATTTACCAGCCTCGAATAAGAATCTGTTTGTGGGATTGATACAAGAGATTGCTACAGAATTGGGATTATCCAAATGTTGGATTTGTAGAGGTCTAAAAATGGCTGAAAGACGGCTGTGGAAAAGTGAGAACTTACCTCCAGAGCAATTTTTTAAGTAGAATCGCACCCAAATTTCTGGAACATTGAAGAGACCTGAAGGATGGATTTTAAGCCATCAAGTAATTAGAATCATTTGTGTAACTCGAGAAAGAAGGAAATTTAATAAAGTAGTGGGGCATACTCTTTGTAAATCCACATTAGTAGTCAATATGGATAATTGTTCAAAAGTTTGGTGACCTGAAACCCCTATAAGATATTGAGGATCAATAAAAAAAAAAATTGTGAATGGGATGAACAGATTAATTTATGCTAGTACAGAAGTCCTGGAGCTAACCCCTACCAATCCATCAACAGCCTGAGGTCATATTGAGAACAACTGGAGAAAACTGATAAGAAATGGAAAGCCTCAGATGGGATATATTGGATTTGTGGGCAACGAGCATACAGTGAGTTATCTCAAAAATGGGGAGGAACTTGTACTTTGGGAGTAATACAACCCTCCTTCTTTGCTCTACCGAGGTCTAGGAGCAATGTGTTAAGAACTCCTCTGTATGAAACCCTGCAGCAGAGTAAAAGGGATTTGAATTTCAACTTTCCAACAGCAGGAGGGAACCAAAAAGGATGGGAGGACGAGTGGCCTGCAGAATGAATTATAGCATATTATGAACCAGCAAGATGGGCTCAGGATGGGTCATGGGGATATAGGACCCCAGTTTAGCTGTTGAATCGATTAATAAGGCTCCAAGCAGCAGTAGGGGTAGTGTCAAATCACACCTCCAGTGCTTTAAAAATGTTAGCCAGGCAATATACACAAATGCGGGCATTTGTGTACCAAAATAGGATTGCCCTAGACTATCTGTTAGCAGAAAAAGGGGGAGTTTGTGGGAGATTGAATGAATCTGAGTGCTGTGTAGAAATTGATGATTATGGGGAAGCTATCACAGAACTTGCAGAAGAAATTAAAAGAGTGGCTCATGTGCCCGGTACAAAAGTGGAATTCAATCTTGAAAGCAGATTGGTGGGATAACCTCTTTGGAAGTGTTTGGAAAAAAAAGTTAGAGTTCATGTTGTTATGCTCAATTCTGGGACTTCTGTTTCTGCTTTGTATGATTTTGTGTTTTATTAAGCTAATTCACTCAGTGATTCAGGGGATGCAGATTACAACAATGTCTCTAGATTCAGAATCAGCAGAAAAAGGAAAACCAAGATCTATAATCGAAAAGCTGAATCGACCCCTGTTAAAGAACAAAGACCTAAAAAGATTGAAATAGAACAAGAAATGCTAACTAAACTTGAAAGAGAGTGTGAAAGACTAGAGGCAGTAATAGAAATGCTAGAAAAGTTTGAAGCTGAAAAGAGACAACAAGAAAACCAAAATTCTGAAAAAATACAAAAGATATCAGAGCATAGCTTTATAATAAAGCACAAATCATAATGATCAAGAAGATAAATGGGGGATTTGTGATAAATAGGTATGATTCGTGCTGATAAAAATTGAAACAGTAATTGATATTGATACAGTAATTAATATTTGGGAATAATAAAATAGTTAGAAGTTGTAATGCAAAAGAAGAGAGGGAGAGGAGGGGCTCCACCCTCCCCCTCCTGGCAGATGTTTTCAAGGATCACAGGAAAGAAGCCAAAGATGTCATTGCTAAAAATGAGCAAAAACCTGGTTGGGTCCCAGAAAATGCTAATTATAAGGGATTTAATGCCTTGATATGTAGACATAGCGATATGTTAGTCTTGGCTAACATTGTACTGGCTTGGTGCGCATGTGTAACCCAAAGGTGAATTAAAGGACACAGAAGAAGACTACAGAGCCTTCATCAGTGACGACTCCCAAAGACTTGTGTGACCACCAAACCGAGTGGTGGTGCACGGGTGGTAAAGGTGGTAATGAAAGCGGAGATAGAGATATGACCAACCGAAAATGGGAGGAGATGGTATTGACACATGGCATATAAGGGATGATTTTCACTTAGCAAGCTTGTACGTGAGGTGGCAAGGGTCCCAGAACCCTGCCCTCCATACCCCGCGGTTATCTTTTGCTTATGCACTATTATTGGAACCAAATTATCCCTTATTTTATTGAATTATATTGTATCCAATTTATAGTTTTTTATTTTAACTATTCATTTAAAATTGCTGCTACTTTTAATATTGTTTGGTTATTTTTATGATGGGATACTTGAGCAAACATAACAAAATTCAATCTGCTATCTTAAAAAAAAAAAAGCAGAGAGAACTTTTTGTCCTATTTTCTTTTCCTTTTTATAGTTTGATATCTACAATCCCCAGTTGATATTGACCCCCAGCACCTTCTAATGCAGTCGGAATATATACAAATATCAGGACCCTTCATGGCTGACAATCAATTGCACTTTATTCCCACCCCCTCTCCACCATTTCTTTTATCCAACCCCTGGCACTCCTATGGATCAAGAATGGTATGGCCAGCAGGAGCAGGGCAGGGATTCTTCCCCTGTGCTCAGCACTGGTTGGGCAGCATCTCGAGTGCTGTGTCCAGTTCTGGGTCCCCCAATTTAGGAAGGACATGGAGGGGCTGGAGTGTGTCCCAGAAAAGGGCAAAAAGGCTGGGGAGAGGAGACGAAAGGGCAAACAGGGATGGGCTATTTGCCCTTTTCCAGGGCAGGAACAGGGGTGGGCAAAAGGAAGAAATTACTACCAGGGAAGAGTAAAGAAAGCAAAGGTGAAGGCAAGGAAATGCTCAGGGCTGTTTGGGGGTGGCTGCCAGGCAGCCCTGGCTCTGAGCAACAGCGTCTGCAGTGGGACAGGAAACTCCCAGCTGATGGGAACAAACTTTCTGGCTGACTGCAGAGGCCAGGACAAAGCAGAGTGGTTTCCCTGTTGTCCCCCAGCCCCTGCTGGCCCCAGGGGCTGATGGCATTTGTGCTCCCTCAGGTTCATGTCCCCACAACAACAGCATGGGGGTGCTCCCACCTGCTGTGTGCAATGCAAACAGGGGCTGCTGAGCCAGTGCTGCCGTGTCTGTGCCTGCAAGGATGGGGCACCTGTGTGAGCTGGGGGAGAGGCCAGGGCTGCAGAGGGGGGATGTTGTTGGCAGCTGCATGAGGATGCTCTGGGACGCTGCCCTGGGCAGTCCAGCCCACTGGGGATGGATCAGCCCCTGCTCTGCTGCTCCTTCCCCTCTGCCCCAGGGCCCTTGCAGAGCCCCAGCCATGCTGTTTGCCCCCAGCCTGCCCACGGCCAGCCTGGGGCTGCTCACGGGGCTTTTCTGTGCTGGGCATTGGCCTGGCCGTGTTCTTGAGAGAGCCTGGGCAAGGAGCCTGGAGCCCCCAGGCCCTGGCCTGAGGCGTCAGCACTGCCCCAGCAGTGCCCATGGCCTGTCCCTGCTGCAGCCCTGGCACTGCCACCCCCAGGGCTGTGCCTGGCCCTGAGAGCACTCATGCCCTACAGCAACACCAGGGCCACCAGGGCAGCGGGGCAGGGCCACGGCAGGAGCACTGGCAACACCAAGTGCTGCTGCTGCTGCTGGGCACAGCTGCTGGGCCAGCCCTGATCTGCCCCCAGCTCTGCACACAGACATTGCTGCTGCAGCTCCAGAGAAGGAACAAAAGGGCATCTCTGCAAAAAACTTTCCTGGGAGATCCTTTAGTTCACTTACAGCCACTGAGAGCACAGCTCCTCATAGAAACAGGTTGTGGGTCACAGTAAAGGAGAAGGGAAACAAAATGAGAAATGGCACAATGACATCACTTTGTAGACAATACTTTAAAATTAAAACAAAGGTAAAGAACCTGCAAAGTGAAACTCAACAAAAAGTATTGAAGATTACTTTTATTACAAGTGATTGGCAGAAATAGGCCAGTAGTTTAATGTTTCTGAAAGCATCCAGTCATCAGTGCCCACATGGAAGCCTTGAGCTCCTGGTTCTTCAGGCTGTAAATGAGGGGGTTCAGGGCTGGAGGCACCAACGAGTACAGAACTGACAGGGCCAGATCCAGGGATGCGGAAGAGATGGAGGGGGGCTTCAGGTAGGTAAAAATGGCAGTGCTGAGAAACAGGGAGACCACGGCCAGGTGAGGGAGGCAGGTGGAAAAGGCTTTGTGTCGTCCCTGCTCAGAGGGGATCCTCAGCACAGCCCTGAAGATCTGCACATAAGAGAAAACAATGAACACAAAGCAGCTTGAGGCTACAGAGACACTTACAGCAAGAAGCCCAAGTTCCCTGAGGTAGGATTTGGAGCAGGAGAGCTTGAGGATCTGGGGGATTTCACAGAAGAACTGGCCCAGGGCATTGCCATGGCACAGAGGCAGGGAAAATGTATTGGCTGTGTGCATCAGAGCATAGAGAAAGGCACTGGCCCAGGCAGCTGCTGCCATGTGGGCACAAGCTCTGCTGCCCAGGAGGGTCCCGTAGTGCAGGGGTTTGCAGATGGACACGTAGCGGTCGTAGCTCATGATGGTCAGGAGGGAAACCTCTAATGACATGAAAAACACAAAAAAAAAGAGCTGTGCAGCACATCCTGCATAGGAGATGTTCCTGGTGTCCCAGAGGGAATTGTGCATGGCTTTGGGGACAGTGGTGCAGATGGAGCCCAGGTCAGCGAGGGCCAGGTTGAGCAGGAAGAAGAACATGGGCGTGTGCAGGTGGTGGTCGCAGGCTACGGCGCTGATGATGAGGCCGTTGCCCAGGAGGGCAGCCAGGGAGATGCCCAGCAAGAGGCAGAAGTGCAGGAGCTGCAGCTGCCGCGTGTCTGCCAATGCCAGCAGGAGGAAGTGCCTGATGGAGCTGCTGTTGGACATTTCTTCATTATGGACATTGTGAGCTTTTTAAAGACACATTGACAATTTGGACAAATTACCTTGAGTCAGTCCTATGCTATTTTCTTACACAAGCAATAAAAATTCCTTTTCTTTCTTTGTGGAAATTTCATTTACTTTTTTTTTTTGAGTTAAGAATTCGGCTGCTAAGTAACTGTGTGTTTTTAAGAACGGACAGAAATCCTGTTCTTGGCATTGCTCTCACCCTGAACACTGGGGAGCCCAGAGGGAAAACAGGCCTCCCTGTGCCCCAGAACAGTCAGAGCTGCTCATCCTAAACAGCTGCCCGTTGCTCATTTCACCTCCCTCTAGTACAGAATGGAAAAATATTAACTGTAGTTATAAAAAACGTAGCCTTTTTGAACACTCCAGTTTCAAAATCAATCTCTCCAAACCCTACACTCTTCCCTGATGCTGTTGGCTGGAGGGATACCAAGGGTTGGCCTGGCTCTCTGCTGCCTCGAGTTGTGCCTACTGGGAGCAGTTTCTCTTTACCCAAGCCTTGTCCCTGCCAGTGCTGCCAGAGCCCAGCCCAGCCCTGGGGGCTCAGCTCTGCCCTGCAGACCGCTCCCAGCACAGGGCACTGCCCAGGGGCATCTCCCTGGCAGCAGGGCCTTAAGGGCAGGCCAGACAAACAGAGATGCTGCAAGCCAAGGTGCTGCTGCTGCTGTCTGTAGGGAGAGGAGGCTGAGGAGGACCTGTCTGAGGGAGATCTGAGGCCCATCTGCTGATGCCCAGGGTGACAGTGCAGGAGTCTCAGTGACACAGCCAAAGCTGACAGCCCCTTTCCCTTCCCTTCAGGAGAAAGCTGAGAGCAGCCCTGGCCATGCAGCACCATCTCCACAGCAGGAGGAATCTGCCCTGATGGGGGTGGCTCCTTCCACCTCCAATTTCTCCCCAGCAGCATCCATGGGAAGCTGCCAGGCAGGCTGGGAGCTGCCCCTGGCAGGTGGCACATGCCCTGGGCTGGCCAAGAGCCCTGAGGGCTGCAGGAGCTGCTCTGCAGGACAACCCTGGCTGCACATGCAGTGCATGTTCATGTCCCAGTCATGCTGTGCTATGGCTGCTTTTCAAGTCTGCTTTGAGCCAAATAAATAGGAGCGATAATATCAGGAAGGGGAAATTCTGAGCTGGCCCTGTTGTGCCTTCTCCTCCTGCTGCCTTTGCTGATCCAAGTCTTGGCCAGCCCCCTGGCCTGTTGGCTCAAGATGCTGATCCCCTGGAAAACCTTTTTGTTCCAATGGGTTTCCAACACAGCCAGAGCTCTGAGCCACGTCCTGGCAGGGCCATGTGCAGGCAGGACCTGGGGGCTGCAGCTGTTTGTTCCATCCCTTACCTGCTTGACTACCTGAGCAGAGTTAAGGACAGTGCAAATCTGGAGAAGATCTGGGTATTTCTGAGAGCTGAAAAGTTCTGGATGTGTCCCAGGCATGTCTGGAATCACTCTGTCTCCAGTGGTTTCCTCCTGTGTTAAACACTTTTCTACAGACAAGGCCAAACTCCCTCTTCCAGACTGAGCTGTGCCAGGAGTTACTGACCTCCTGTGCCAGGCTCTGGAGCTGCTCTCATCATGCCCAGATTTCCCTCTGGGAATGTTTGCCTGGCTTGAAACCACTGGCCTGAGCCAGCCTGGCTGAAGAGACCTGGGAGGTGGCCACAGACCCATTTGGTGAGCAGCAGACCATTGCCTCTTCCCAGGCTCAGCATCCAGCAGAGGATCTGACACCAGCCCCAGGCACACACGCACAGAGCAGATCATGTCCCTGCAGCCCAGCGAGCTGTGACACCTCTGGGAATTTACTGGAAAGCCCTACCACCTCTCTAAGGCTCTCAGGAACAACCATGAGGGAAGGAAATAAAAAACAAGCCCTCAGAAAAACACAAAATGCTGTGTGAAGTACCTGAAATGCCCCCAACAGTTTAACTAGAGCATGGAGTAAGCTGAGAAAATGTATGAACAAACGAATTAAACAAGTGAGCACACAGCAGACAAGTTGGCACGTAGGTGTCTACTGAGAAAGCTTAAGCACAGGAAGGGGAGAAAAAGCAAACTCAAACCAAGGCATAATATCCCTCACATTTTGGAGCAGAGCTCTCAGACCATGTATCATCCAAACCACTCCAAATTACCATCTGCCAGAATGTCCTTCAAAGAAAAAAGGTCCACAAGTTTGCAAAGCAGCAGTTTAATGTTGTCCTATCAGATGAGAGGCTCTCTCCAAAGAAGATTTTTGCACTTGAGTAAGAAACACTACACAAAAGTGTGACTCTTGTGGCCACTGCTACACTGTCAGGTACCATGAGACAATGAATTTTTGGAGTCCTGGCCATGTCATGGCAGGTACATCTGGAAAGAAGCTCTTTAGCAGCCCCTGTCATTTCATAAGTTACCTGCAAATGTTTCCAGATCCTCTGCATGATCTTCTCTGTATGCAGAAAGAGTCTACATAAAGAACCTGAGCAAACCACTCTGGTATTGTTTCAGAGACAAAGATACACCAGAATATGAAGAGCAGGTTTTGTTTCTCATGTATCTTCCTGTCATCCCTAAATCAGGCTCTGTTTCAGACTAGAAGCTGGATCCTTCCCTGGTATAAACCTGGGTACCTGCTCCTGTCCATGAGGCCCATCACTCCACACACGCTGAGGGCCAAGTGCATTGCATATGAGATTGCCAAGTAAATGCAGGTCTGTGCATGCACCATGTGTTAGACTAGGCCATAAATAATTTATGATGCTGGAGAAGGTGACTGTATTTTTAGGTGTAGAAATATGCAGATAAAACAGTCCTGACCTTCAGTTTTCACTCTGCACTTCTGATCCTGAATTTGAGTCCATCCAATGCATTTCTAAAGCCTCTGCACCTCTGAATGAGCAACACATCCCCTGCAAAGCCCCAAAACCCATAATTCAAAAAAGGGGCACCAGGAAAACCCATGGAGCCCACAGGATACCTCCTGCAGCCAGCACTACACAGGATGCCCCAGCATAAGGAAGAGCAGGCTCCTTCCCCTGAACCTCAAACATTCTGCAGGTCAGTCTCCTCTGGATTCTCGCTGCTGACCCTTATTCCTGACCCCACATCTAATCAACACGCCTTTGATGTCAGAGGCACGTGTTCATGGGGCCCAAATCTCTCTCTAAAGACCACGGGAGCTGCTCAAATCAGCCCCTTGCCATCCTGAGGCAGCCCAGGAGCAAGGATGAGGAAGGACAAAGGTGCTCACTGGGGTGCTTGTAACTGTACCCTCTGTTACATCTTCCCCCAGAGAGAGCTGTCAGTGGGACAGAAGGAGAATTATTCCTTCCTTGGACTTTGTAGAAACAGGGAGCCCAGGGAAACCAAGAAACAATCATAGATTTGACACCACATTACTTCTGGATGTGTCCAATGAGCAAGATAAGGACACACTGAGGAGAAGGGGAAACATGTTGCAAGGGCGAGGAAGGGGACAAGACAGTTTTGTGGTGTGTCACAACACAGCTTTTGGTCTCTGCTATCAGAAATAAACCAAGGGAGGTGGAGAGAGGCACAGAGCCCAGGTGAGGGCAGGTCTCACCTGGACAGGGCAGCTCCCAGGACAAAGGCTGTGTGTTCCTTCAGCGAGGCCTTGCTGCTGTTCAGCCCCTCGATCACCAGCCGGAGCCCACCCATGGACAGGAAATCCTTGGCATTGTCCACCTGGGAGAGAGCAGCTTCCATCAGCACAAAGCCCCAGCCCCTGGAGAACACCTCCCTTCACGCCCACAGCATCCCTTCCCTCCTGCTCTGACCAGCAGGGAGTTTTACAAGGGATTAAAAATTCCGAGGGAATGGCTGTGGCTGAGCTTAGCACAGCCCTGCCCACGAGCAGAGATGTCACAGCTGCCCAGGCACAGTGTCCTTGTGGGAGGACATTATCACACTCAGAAGGCATCACTGGAAACTCAAATACTTTGATTATAGCTATCAAAACTGCTCTTGACATGTATTTTGGCAATTCAGGTGGTGTCAAAAACTCGATATATCTGCTGATGTCAAAAAACTCCAGTTCTTTGCTCTCCCCTGAGCAAGGCTTTACTAGGGATCCAGAGAATTGCATGTTTTGCAAATGAAGTTAATTAATTGATGCTGTAATTGTAGCACCAGGAGTCAGGGATGTTTAGGAGCCTGTCAGCACCAACAGGGTGCAAAGGGGGCATGGGAGCGAGTAGCATGGGCAGTTCTGGGAGTTCTCCATGAGTTCCATCAACAACTTCCCATGGACAAGGAAGGAAAAAGCCAGTCCCAGCTTGGAGGGGTCATCCAGGAGCTTCTCCAGGGAGCAGCCCCACAATGACTTTTCTAAGCAAACAATAATGGATTAACTGCCAGTAGGGAAAACTTTGCACATTAGTGGGAATTCATCAGCCTCTGGCTCTAAGTGGATCAGGGGCTAGCCAGGCACAGTCCCAGCGGGCATCTGCTCTTGGAGAGGAGATCAGAAAAGGCTCTGAGTGCTCACAGACAAAATTTAGAGAAACAGCACAAACTACTTCAAGTACAAAATTCAGTCCAAAGTCAAATCAATGCATTTTGGTATTCAGTGATTTTTTTTTTTCAGTTTAAAAGAGGATCTGATGAATGCTCAGAACTGCCTGCACAGAAAAATCAGTTT